TATATATATATATATATATATATATATATATATATATATATATATATATATATATGTATATGTGTGTGTGTGTGTGTGTGTATATATATATATAATGTCCAGGGGAGTGGTGGAGTAGAGGTTAGAGAAGGTGGGCCTGTGGTCAGAAGGTCACCACCAGCTCAACTCCCCAGACCAACAGCATCAAAATGTGGGTGGGAGAGATGAAGCATCCACACCTGTCTCTACCCTCATTTGCCCCAGTCTGGGTCCTTGAGCAAGGTCCTTAACCCCCACCTTCTGCTGCCCTGGGCAGCTTAGATAGCAGCTCTCTGCTCCACACAGAGGGCTGTGATTGCATCAGGAAGAGCATCCGGCATAAAAGAAAAGAATTGCCACGCCTTCGTGCGAGTTAGTTCGCTGTGGCGACCCCTGAAGAAGAAAGACACTAATAAATTACAGACGTCAAAGTCTGACCTAAACTGTACTCTAGACTCATGTTTTGGGTAACAGAAACACAGAAACAATGTCCAAACAAACATCACTCGACTAGTGATGTAAAGTTAGGTTTTTCTTATTTTACTGATTTAAAATTAATCACTCACCAAAAAGAATCAAAATTTTGAGATTCTGATTTGAGTCACTTCTGCACACACAAGCTCTACTCCCAGTTCCACTGATTCATACCAGTACTACCACTGATTTGATTTCATTCTTGTTTCCATTTCATTGTGGAATAACAAATAAATTACTTCAGGGGATAACTACTTTGGCACAACTTGTAGAACCACATAATTTCAACTCGGTTAATTCAGGGGCTCTTCCAGAGAGCATGTGCTCTTTTGCAAGCATGAGATGGAGCAAACAGTAACGATCAACTCGTCTCTATGACTTACTCCGTCACTCATTCACTGTCCTGATTTGCTCGTTTGAGTCAGGAATCATGTGCGAGCAGCTAAGTTCTGTGTGAGAGCACGAGTCTGCTGGCTTGACTACATTTGGACTTCTGTATTTTTGCAGGAAAACAGCTGCACAAAACAGAAGATGGAGATTTCATTCACTGGGAAACACGCTCTGGTCACCGGAGCAGGAAAAGGTACACAGATCAGCTGTCATCACGACTACACTAAACCAATAGAAATTATTTCAGTTGTTCTCCATTGCTTTTACACATTTTCTGAAAGTATGCCTCATAGTCTCAGAACGCTACACACAATCCAAAACACACACATGCATGCATGCACGCGCACTCACACACACACACACACACACACACACACACAATGGGCAAAACCCCTCAATTCTCCTGCAAACTGAAACTTTGCATTCAAACAATGTACACATTGTACATCCCAACCAACACAGAGTTGCACATACTGTGGTCTACATATAAAACAACAGAAGAATTTACTGTATGCAGTTACAGTAAAACAACAACAACTATCTTCTCCTGTTTCGATCTGGCCACAGCACCCCGTCCACATCACAAGCAAGGTTTTCCCTGGCCAGCAACGGGGGAAATATCGCCTAGCGTGGCAAATCCAGCCATGAAAAGCATCAACTGCTATATGTCCACATGTATCTCCCATAACTTACTTAAAGGAGCCACACATGATGACAGGAGAAGATTTTTAACCCAGTTTTACTTGTAAGGGCAAACAGTCATGAAACAGGCTTATACAGATGTTCAAAGTCCCTTCATGAGAATCTGCACCGGACAGTGTGCCAGGATTGTTTTTATAATACACGCTTATCAGCTGCTCCTCCAGACTCGGAGGTAACCTTGGAGTACCAGTTGCACATGCACATCAAATCAGCTCCTCATTCAGCTCTCTCTGCTAATTCAAACACACGGTTCATGGGCAGTTAACATTAGTTAGTGACAAACATCCTTGACCTTGACCAAAATTCCCCAGACAGATATTCCTTCCCCTCCATCTTTTTGTGAGGTTGAATCCAACCTCCTCAGTGAAGATGAACTGGTGCTCCACTGCAGCCACCTCAAGGACTCTCCTAAACTCACACCAATATCTGAACTAGACATGGAGTCATTACTGTGAAGCACATTCATTATGATAACAATATGGAAATATGTACAAGTTAGAGTGTTGAGTACGCATCAATTGTGGGATTGGATAGGACTTGTACATTGCATTTATTTGACTCTTTCAGAATAGTGTTCAAATGGCACCCTGTAGACCCACTTCATTCTCAGGTTATTTCTGCGCAAGCCACGGTCCGGCATCAATAAGCTTACCCTATCAATCTTTTGAAATATCTCATTGTTTTGATGCATGCTCAGTAATCCAGGTAGATAAATCTAAGAAGGATTCTTCTTGTTGAAACGTTTCATCTTCTTTAAAGACTTCTTCAGTCATGAAATGAAATGAAATACATGAAATGACTGAAGAAGTCTTTTGGATAAAAGATGAAATGTTTCAACAAGAAGAATCCGTCCAGAGGACCTGACTCAACTTTGTTATATCTCATTGGTTTCTATTATTTTTCTTTGTATCTACTGTAATGTTATAGAGTTATTTTCTAGGACCATGTTCACAATTTCAGTTTCCTATCCAGGAGACAGAAGATGTTCCTGTCCACGTCCTCGCGTTGGTAATCTTTCATTTCTGCAATACAAATAGTAAAATAATGTAAATACTGTGTAAGAATATAAAGTAGGAATATATTTCCAAAATACGTGAAACATACTTTATTTTAGTCTTACAGAACAGTCCACAGGCAATACTGTACTACTGTTCTTATTGCAGAGAGGCTGGTTGGTGCTTTTATTTTCATCTATTCTTATGTATGTTTTGTTGTATTTTACTTTAATATTAAAAACATTCCATCCATCATGTAAGGTCAGGGGGTGTTTGGTACTTATCTTCAGTAGTACTGGGTGAGAGGGGTGACACACCAGTTTACCTAACCCTAGGGCCATTTAAGATGGTAAATGGACTGTACTTGTATAACAACTTTCTATCTTATTGAGATACTCAAAGCTCTTTACAACAATCTGTGCCTCATTTACCCATTCATACAGCTCTATACTAGATCTCTACAAAGCTAACTGAACAAATCATTCTAAAGAGACTAATCAGAGCTTTAGACCACATTCATACACTGATGGGACACACATCAGAGGCTATGAGGGGTTAAGTGTCTTGCCCATGGACACATCGGCATGTGGCTGCTGGTGGATTTGAACCCCCAACTCTTGCATTGGCGGACAACTGCTCTAACCACTCAGCCACAGTCACCCCTTAAGAGCCACCAAAAACCTAAGATGCATGTTCTTGGTCTGTGGAAGGAAACTGATGTATCTGAAGCATCAGCATCCAACCTGGTGTTCAAGCCAGAATCTTCTCACTGAAAGGCAGCAGTGCTAACAGTCTTTGCCATTGTGCTGTTAGTGAAGAAGACACAAAGAAGATTTAACTCTTCTATTTGAGGTAAAGACTCACCCCCACCCTGAAAGGAGCATTCCACCTTTATTGGGTTGATACCTATGGTGTCAGACTTGGAGCTGATTCAGCTACAAACAGCCGCAGTGCACGCAGAAGGTCGTGGCTTGACTTTAACAGAATTGTCATTTGTAAAAAGTAGAGATGAGACCCTACAGCAGGGCTATTGAACTAGCAGCCCACGGGCCACTTCCAGCCCGCAGGGACTTCAGTCTGGCCCGCAAATGAGTTAATTAAAAGAATTTTGAAATGTTTTTTTTTTAATGATAACATATATATATATATATATATATATATATATACATTTATATTTATATATTTATATATTTTTATATATCCAACAATTTTCAGTCAGGTCATCTGGACAGTTTCTTTTTTTGCTGAAACGTTTCACCTTCCATCCAGAAGGCTTCATCAGTCAAGGAAACACACAACACAAAACTGATTCTTCCCCCAAACAGCTTACTCCAAAGTGGAACAAACCAGTTTTGTTGGTGCTAAGATGGTGTCTGTGGCACGCCCCCTCCTCTTGTGCCGGCCCTCTTCCTCGTTGACAGTCATGTCAAACTGGTTCAAAACCAAAAAAGTCCATGCTCAATAATTCAGGTATACATACAGATTTTTATATATTTTATATTTTTATATTCTAATATATAGAATGATCTATGACATCTATCTAGCTGCACAAGTTATAGCAGAATCAGTGTCATACATTTTTAATGTGTCTTATACAACTATCCCAGATGGTTGGAAAACAGCTATATTTAATTTTGAAGTTTGTCCCTTGCCGGATACCGTAACTCTACAGGGATACAACTTCCTGTGAGACACTGGTATTTTTCTTGCATAGCACATGGATTCATTCATTCATTGTATGTCCCTCTGCCTTCAAACATCAATTCTTTTAAATAAAGGTATGTAATGTATACATCTTTTCATTGCCACTTTATAAACCTCATCAGATTTTGGTTCATTTTCTGTAAAACTGACTGCAATGTAACCTTCTTTGTGTTGGCCACTGTTGACTAGCTGTGGCGGCCTTCTGGAATTGTGTTGGCTCCAAAAGTTGATCAGTTATAGATGTACAGTCAATGATTAATGTACGAGAGTGTCGTCAACACAGTTCAGTGAATTGAGAGATATTTTACTGAGACAAACTATCATGGAAAAAAAGATATTCCCAAACAACCAGGTGCAGGTTTCATCATATTTATTTACAAATTTGTTTACAAATGGACACAAACGCACACAGACTCACACTTTCCACACTACCCTTCTTAAAACAAAATCTGTCGTAACTAATTAAAATGCTACAATGCTCTGTTACAAGCATTAGCACATCCCTCCATGAGACAGTCTTATCTTTAAGAAAATAGAATTGTAACATGTTTGTGTGCAAAGTGTAACGTTTCTATGAAGTTTAATTTTTGTCTGTAATCCATCTTTGTGTTGATGTTTTGTGTCTCAGGAATTGGCAGGGACTTGGCTTTGGCTCTGGCACGCTGCGGGGCAAAGGTTACAGCAGTCACGCGAACACAGGCTGATCTGACCAGTCTGGTCCAGGAGGTAACCCCCACTCACACATGCACACATAGCCTTTATCTAAATGGACTGTACTTACATAACACTTTTCTATCTTATCGAGATACTCAAAGCACTTTACACTACAATCTGTGCCTCATTTACCCATTCATACAGCTCTCTACTAGATCTCTACAAAGATAATTGAACAAATCATTCTAAAGAGACTAATCAGAGCTTTATCACATTCATTCACTCATGGGACACACATCAGAGACAATGAGGGGTTCAGTGTCTTGCCCATGGACACTTCGGCATGTGACTGCTGTTGGATTTGAACCCCCAACTCTTGCATTGGCGGACGACTGCTCTAACCCTCACACAGTGATTGCTGGACATGGGCACCGGCGACCCCCGTGACCCAAAATGGAAGAAACGGGTAAAGATAATGGATGGATGGAGTTGCAAACAACAAGTGACACGTCAGTTAATGCTCACTGCTACACACTGAGGACCTTTTCACTTAACTTTTTTTCATCAGAAACATCAACATGTCTGCTTTCTCTGGATACAAACAAGCCCACTCCTGGCTGATGGTGTCTCCAGCAGTAGGAAGTGTTCACTCTGAGGCTGTAGATGATGATTGTTGCACACACAGATACCTGGTTGTCAGTTTGATAGCACTGGCATAGTGTCCCTCACATCCCACCAGCAGGTCACTGGATTCACTGAGGGCGGGGTACACCCTGGATGGGTCGCAAGTCCATCACAGGGACACATAGAGACAAACGAGACAAACAACCATTCACTCTCTCTCTCACACCTAGGAACAATTTTAGAGTTACCAGTCAGCCTAACATGCATGTTTTTGGTCTGTGGGAGGAAACCGGAGCACCCGGAGAAAACCCACACATGCACGGAGAGAACATGCAAACTCCACCCAGAAAGGCCCCTGGACCAGGTTTTGAACCAAGGACCTGCTCACTGAGAGGCAGCAGCTCTACCAGTTGCGCCACCATGCTGCCCTGTTGTTTGCAACTGCAACTGGAAATTATTTGTTTATTTTTATGTAAGAAAACTTCTTGGAATAGAAATTCCAAAGTTAAAAAATAAAACTCACAATTTGTACTGTACTGTGTAACATAATTTTATTCTTGTTAGAATTAATAGTAATTACAAAATTGGTACCTAAAAAAGAACTGTCCAGGAACCGACACTGAAGTGTAGGTACCGACACCGGTACCGATTTTTTTTTTTTTTTAGAAAGGTACCCAGCCCTAGGTAGATGACTAAGATCTGCATTCTGCCGAGCATAGTTTTGAGTTTATTGCTGATTTCTGCTATATTTTGTGGCCAATCCGTTCCTATTCTCATCAATTCGGTTCAGCTGTAGTTCACATGCAAAAATTGTGCGGAATCAGGCACAGAGTCAATATCAAAACTTCTAAAAACTGGGATCGTACTGGGAGCCTGTGAAGCTGCAACTGCTCTGAGCGTGGCCATCTTGGATCACATTTGAGGTCAAACACTTGACACCTCCAAAATGAATGAGTGCAGACATAGATTGAAGATGAAAGTGGAGTGTTTGGAATTATATGGGCCAGGCATGGTTAGATACAGGCAGCTGTGGCTGAGTGGTTAGGGTTGATGCAGACTTCTGCACCTCTGTGTCTGTTCCTGAATCTTCTCTGTGGTTCTCTGGGGTTTAGGGCTCTTATCGTCTCTCTAATTGACATTAGAACACAAAACATCAACAATAACATGGTTGTGTTCTTATTGCTCAAAAACATCTAGGCTGAGAGATAAAAGCTTAACTGGTCAACAAAATCCTTTACAGCTTAACTTACCTCCACCATGCAGCCTCCACTGTAGAAAAAGGCAGCAAACTTTTAACAACAAAGTTTGTGACTGTCCTGTGGCCCCCTCACTGTTTTTTTTTCTTTCACTGTCCTCACAGTGTCAGGGTCAGAGGCTCCTGTGAGGAGAACATTAACAAACAGTGAGCATTAGGTGAACTTTTTAACCAGCTGACCTGATGGATGAGCACAGTTTTACAAGCTAAGCTTTATCTGTTACTGTCAATCTTTAGTTAGCTTCTGAGTTTAGCTAGCTATGTAGATAAAATAAAGCTACACATTAATATCTTAAAGTTAGCATTACATACCAACATTTTTCAGTCAGGTCATCTGGACAGTTTCTTTTTTTTGTGCTGAAACGTTTCGCCTTCGGTCCGGAAGGCTTCATCAGTCAAGGAAACACACAGAAAAACTGATTCTTCCTCCAACAGCTTACTCCAAAGTGGAACAAACCAGTTCTGCTTGTGATAAGATGGTCTCTTTGGTACGCCCCCTCCTCCATTGCTGGCCCCCTTCCTTGGTGACAGTCTTGTCAAACTGGTTGAAAACATCAAAGTCCATGCTCCAATCCAGGTATACAATCCAACATTTTTCTGTCAGGTCATCTGGACAGTTACGTTTCAGCACACAAAAAAGAAACTGTCCAGATGACCTGACTGAAAAATGTTGGATTGTATACCTGGATTATTGAGCATGGACTTTGATGTTAGCGTTACATAGATTCTAGTTTAATTCACCGCAATGTACATGTTAATGTGCAGTAACGTTAACAAACATAAACTTACCAGATAAAATCTACACACAACTCCGTCCTCGGAGTTCTTTGATGAAGAGGAGTCCGGTCATGGAGATAATGGGCGGCTGTGGCTGAGTGGTTAGAGCAGTCGTCCTCCAATACGAGAGTTGGGGGTTCGAATCCACCAGCAGTCACATGTCAAAGTGTCCCTGGGCAAGACACTAAACCCCTCATAGCCTCTGATGTGTGTCCCATCAGTGTATGAATGGGATCTAAAGCACTGATTAGTCTCTTTAGAATGATTTGTTCAATTAGCTTTGTAGAGATCTAGTAGAGTGCTGTATGAATGGGTAAATGAGGACACAGATTGTAGTGTAAAGCGCTTTGAGTATCTTGAAATAAGATAGAAAGGCGCTATATAAGTACAGTCCATTTACCATTTAACGCTGAGGGGTTGGGGGTGGGGGTGGGGTGCTGCTGTCCTTCACTCTCCTTGCAAAAAAACACGGAGCAACTTTCTGCTCGTAAATTGAAACCGTTCGACGCCACACGCGCTGCACATGTGAGCCCTGTCTGTGTGCGTAACCAGCTCCATAGACATACAAGCTGTACGGCAGCTCTATACAGCTCTGGGTGTAAACACGTAGTCTGTTTGCTATATGTCTGCGTTTTACCTGTCAGTGGGCTGAAACCACGTGATACATTACAGCCAATATCGAAACTTGACACTGAAAAAAGAGTGACGTTTCAATCCATACACCGACTGACGCAGTTCGGTTGGTGCTACAGAAGAACCTCAATGCGATATACAGCCCTACATCTACCTGGAAACTGCAGCAGAGGCGTTCCAATGGGCAGAAGAGGAAGCTCTGCTTCCGGCTTAAGAAGAGAAGATGCCGGGCGGAGATTATAGTGAGGTTATGAGCTAACGCTAAAGCCGGAAAACTCCCGATGCCATCTCTCTTTCTGTTGAACATCCGGTCGTTGGACAAATGGATGGATTTGCTTCGTCTCAGAGCGGGCGCCTCAGAAGAGATTATGAAGTGTGCAGTGCTTTGCCTCACAGAAACATGTATTACAAGTGAAACACTGGATACAGTCTTTCAGCTGGATGACAGCCTTTTTTTTCAAGCAGACCGCTGCAGCGAGCTAACGGGGAAATCACGGGGAGTCGGAGTGGGCATTTATGTGAGTAAAAGTTGGTGCACAAACTGTACTGTTGTAAAAAAAAAACTCATGCGCGAAGGCTTTGGAGCAGATATCAGTGAGATGTCGGCCACATTATCTACCCCACGAGTTCACAGTGACTTTCATAACAGTTGTTTACATTCCTCCGAATGTTAATGCTAACGACATTCTGCAGGAGCTCCATGATCTACACAGCTTGCTGCAGAACAAACACCCTGAGGCTCTTTACATAGTGGCCGGAAACTTTAATCACGTGAATCTAAAGGACTGCCTCCTAAGCTTTTACCAGCATGTGGGCATACCAACAGGTGGAAACAACACGCTGGACCGTGTTTACACAAACGTAAAAGATGCATACAAAGCCAAACCCTGCCCCCACCTAGGATTCTCTGATCACATCTCAATCTTAATGGCTTTTGCTTACTTGCCCCCGCTGAGATGCTCCAGACCAGTACAAAAGAAAGTTAAATGTTGGATCCAGGACAGTGGCCCCATACTGAGAGATTGTTTTGATCGAACAGACTGGCAAGTTTTCAGAGAAGCTGCTGAAAATGGAGAATTGCTTGATCTGGACCAATACACATCCTCAGTTCTGGGTTACATTAGTACATATACTGACACCGTCTCCACCATAAGATATGTTAAAAGTTAACCCGAACAGAAAACCTTGGCTGAATGCGGATGCGCACCCTGCTGGCAGCCAGGAACACTGCCTTCAGGTCTGGAAACTTACAGGAGCTGAAAAGGACATGAAAAGAGCTGGTTGCTGATATTAAGAGGGCCAAGGCTACATATGCACAGAGGATCGAGGGTCAATTCACCTCAAAAGACCCTCAGAGCACGTGGAGGGGCATTAAGTGCATAACGGAATATAAAGGAAGGAGCGAACAATGCCCCAAAGACCCATCTCTACCTGATGCCCTCAACAAGATTTATGCATGCTTTGAAGACCCGAACAGACCACCCAGCACCAGACTCATCTCACCACCAGATGAAGAGCATCTCAGCGTGACTTCAGCAGAAGTAAGGAGTACTTTCAGGAGGATTAATCTGCACAAGGCAACCGGCCATCCCCGGAAAAGTGTTGAAAGGCTGTGCCGATCAGCTCTGCGAGGTGCTGGCAGACATCTTTAACACCTCACTTACCCTGGAGACAGTTCCCACCGGCCTGAAGACTGCCACCATCATCCCTGTCCCAAAAAGCTCTACAATGACTGGTCTGAATGACTATCGGCCAGTGGTCCTCACCCCGATAGTCGCTAAGT